CATATATGTGTTTTTTGTAAGAATATTAGAATTCGACTAGTTTAGAGACTTATTGTAATAAAATGGTATATGGTAGGACTACTTTATAGCTAACATTTTTGAATACTACACATATTCATGACTAAGTGTCAATAATAAGAAGAATTGTGTAAGTTTATAGTTATGCTATCAAGTGAGAACTCTAGTTTCATAAGATACTTTTGCAATTCTATTAGAAATATAATAGATATATGTTATGTTAATATATATAATAGAATAGTTAACAGTTGAATTAAATAATGATTTTTTAATAAATATATAGTGTATTTTTAACATAAGAAATGATACAGCCTGGCATTTTAATGGCAATAAATATAGTATTGAAATAAATTTGCATTAACAATTGAATGGCATTTATTGCTGTTCCTATTGCAATAAATGTCATTTATTGGATAAAATGCTATTAATTGCAATTAATTGCAAAATTGCAGTTTGAACGGGCTATAAATCCTTTTAATTATATTAATGTTTTACAATTAATATTTTTTTTCTGAACTGATTTATTTGAACACTTTTACCAAGAAAATGATTAAAAATTGAGTTTTTGTGCCCATATGACGTCTTTCATTTCCCAAACCAAAAAAACACATCCCACATTAAAAATTTGTTCCGGAAAAGCATTTATTTGTTCTTTATATCAATGATAATATTGGAAACGGAAATGTTGTACGGGAATAACATTAATAAAGAATATTTTGTTCCTATATGAGATTTTTTTATTAAAATTTATGAGAACGATGTAGGAAGCAGTAGAAGAGAAGGGCGACCAAAAAAAAAGATGGAAAGACAGTGTGCAGCAGGACTAAGAAGAAATGAACATAAGAAATTGGAAAATAAAAGCAAAAGCAAAAAAAGAGAAGAATGGAAGACTGTTGTTAAACAGGCTTAGGTCCTATATGGACTGTATAGTCACGGATGATGATGATATAAGGTTTTTTAGTTCTTGCATTAAAAATTTATTACGGAAAATGATTTATTTGATTTTCTATATTAGTAATAGAATTAATAATAAAAATATTGTTTTTTAAACCAAGAAATCGGTTAAGGTATTTAACTAAAAAATAATACATCTATTTCATTATTATTTCGAAACTTTGTTTTACTTTTGTTTTATATTAAAAACACACTTTATTATCGTTCTACTTTAATTAACTAAAAATATTAAGTATTTTTTAAAAATTAATAAATTTTTGAATTCAACCCATTGGTCATGAAAAATGATTTCAAAGGCTGTAGTTACTTAATTTTAAAGTAAATGAGAAATAAATATTCCTATAAAATGAAAAGATATTAAAACTAGTAAAAGCCGCATAGTTTTTTTATTATTTAATTAAAAAAAATTGCAAACATATTTTTTTTTATTAGTTTATAATACTTTTAAATAATATAAATTACTATGAAGAGAAAATAAAAAATGTAACAAAAAATTTTGTATGTAAAATACACATTTCCCGACAATGTTTTTAGTAATTCTAAACATAAAGAAAATCTTAAAATCTCAAAATTATGTAAATATAATGGAAGCTTACTATATATAAATAATTTCATAATTTTTTCTTAATACAATATATAAAATAATTTAGCGTACTAAGTGCATAGTTGCACTTACAGTGCTTAAATTTTTATATATACGTATTCGATTGAAGCGAAAATATTTCTGTTTTTATATATAATATAATCCACTGCATGATCGTGTCTTCTGTAGTGCAATTAAAAAATTTATATATATTTGGCAAAAAGCCAAAAGAAAAAACGGCATCCAATGTAGTTGCCTAAAATACTATATAAGATATATTTTACGTAAAACTTGAACGATAAATTGTTTATTGCTAAAATGTAAATTTTTGATCAATGTACGTAGTTGGGTTATGAAAAGTCTAAAATTTGTGGTATATGAGAGCTTCTATTCTCATAAAAACAATATTAAGTTAAAAATCAATTTAAAATATAATTTTTTTTGGATTGAGTCCAATTTTTTAAAATTCCCAAATATTTATTTATGAAATAAATGTACTATGCAAATAAATAATTTATTATTAAAATTTAAATTTGATTTATAATTTTAATTTTAATTGATTTAAAATGTAAGAAACTCAATATTTTATTACGATATGTTATTTGGAAATGAAATTGAATAAAACATTTTAGTCATCAATCATTATTATAGAAATCAATTAAATCACGACATTTAGTTAACTATAAATTGTACAATACTTTTTTACAATAATCATCCATTATATAAAAGATATAATCAATATGTTATCAATATGTTCATTTCGTGGCATATAAACAGAATTGCATTACTCAAGATCAAAATTTTTATCTATGCAGAGGCAATGCATGCCAATAAAATATATACTCTTTTTGGCAAGAGTTGCCTTTGGTATCTATGAAATCAATTTCGTACTTTACTGACAACACCTGATATATGCAAGCTGACGAAAAAGCTAATTCTGTAGTAATTAATTTAATATGAAATTGAAAAGATGATTTGAACTCTCCAAGAGGTTCTAATTATTTGCTTTATAAGCATAATAATGCCTTATAAGCAATTAATTAAAGAAAATTCTGAAAAAACTATTCCTATTTATGTTATTCTTAAAAAAAAAATATGTTAATAATGCGAAAATAGTATGAATGGGAAGATAATGTGAAACACTTGGGTCTTACTTTTGATAAAAGACATACTTGGTTAGAGAACATAACCCGAGTCAAAAACCCGAGTTATAATACAACTCTGAACGGCATGAAACCATACTTCTAATGATACAAGGAAAGTTGAGTGTGACATATAAAATTCTGCTTTATAAGCGTGTAATTAGACCTAAACTATTTTATTGTTGTGTGCAATATCTCAAGATATTGTTTTGAGACGTAAGCTTAAAGCACCATAGTATATCAGGTATGAATACATACAAAAGCACTTGAGAATCGAGAGAGTTCTTGTTTGATTCTGTGAATGCTCATACTAATTTAGAATTGCAAACTCCTTAAAAAACTCACTATATATTTTTTAGTAAGATATACTATATTTCTTACAACTCGCTTAAATAACTCATTGCCATATTTTAATGGAACACTTGTTACCCAAGTCATTTGGATCACAGGCAACGAGTTGAAGTTCTTTAGATATTACGTTACATTTCATAAAGCAAAGAAGAAGTAGAAATTTAGGTTGGGGCTTGGTTTTAACGGGATGGAAAGCAGCTAGGACATCTATAACGACCAGATAAAATCAATTGAAATTGAAATATGTTAATAAGTGCGAATGATTGAACGTATCAGTCGTTGTCAAAATACGTTGGAACACATGAAAATAACAGCATCCGGGAAGAATGCGACTATTTAAATTAATCCAGCTTAATCAAAGCTGCACCGCAAATAGAAGAAAATTCATGTGTAAAATTCTGTAATTACAAATTATTACTAATTAAGAAAATATCAAAAAATTTTCAAATCTTTGTAATCAAAATGTAAGATTTACTCTTATTTTTATGTAAAATCTATGACAAATAAATTACTGATTAATTGTTGTATATATTGATTTAGTCAATCTGAACAGTTGAAGAAATATTTCTAAGCTTACTCATACGATGTGATGAATCATGTAACACTTGAGTTTATTTGGTTCTCTTCCCTACTTTTTGTTTTATTTGAATTTTACATTTAACTGAAGAGGGCTGAGTTTAAGTGAAAGTAAAAGTGGTGTTGTGTAGTTAAATAAATATTTTTATTTAAAATGCACCATGTTCTCTCTATTCCTCTAACTACATTATAAGTTATGTGCACATAACTTAGAAACTTTATTACTTACGGCAGCAGTAAGCACTTGCAAGTCTGGGTAATTCACAGGACTCCACACTTTTTATGTTCATTTAAAATATTTCATATTAAGGTACCTGTTGTGTATGTATTGCCATATATATGTGTGTATATTCAACCTTGGGAAACAGATACACAGATAAATTATAAACATAACAACTGTATTAAAACTTAATATTCTTCATTAATTACACATAAGGAGAATGTAAAATGATAAAATGATTTTGCTGTAAAATGTCAGCATGACTTTTGCTACTTTAACTATAAAAGAAGAAGTTGGAGAATGTAGCAGAATGTTCCGACAAGGACACTTAAGGAATTTTAATTTAGTTATACAATATTTTCTTTAGTAAAAAAAACTAATGTATGAGAAAATTAGTTTTCATTATTGTTTTGTTATCAAAAGAAAATGGCTCACCGGCGTATGAGTAATCAATTTTAAATTCTTACCTAAGGCAAATTGTTATGCGTACGCATAAATTGAACGGAAATTGACTTAAACTGATAAAATCTCTTTGAATGTTAAGGAATGGAGTAGAGAAATGGATTTTTTTCAATTACTAATTTAATTTGTTGCTTAACGTTATGCTCGCAAAGCACTGTATACTCATTCAAAGCAGTTTGCTCTACAATTTTCTCATATCTGAAAAGAAAATTTCATTTGCATAATAACAGCCACTTTGTGCTTGAATTTTATTTATTTTTGATCTAAAAGGATGCGTCGGCAATTTAATAACTTTAATTTTTTTCTTTGCTTGCTGTAAACAATAAGCACCGCAGAGAAATATAAATTCATTCAGGATAAACTTTATAAATATTTACTCACACTCACACATACACTCGCACACTACACAGCCAATTGCCGACAAAGAATCAAACGCACTCGTGCAAAACACACGAGCGCATGCAATGCGTACAAACAGTTCTAAGCAATGTCTCTGTGTGTGTGTGTTCAGCCATTTTGACTTACATCGTACACCGCTATTACTCACGTCCGTTTTGTTGCTGTTTATAAAACTTTCTTTTGCCTCTTTTGTTGTTGGTGCCAGCTGCTTTCCGTTTCATAGCATTTTTTTCAATTCGTTTCGTTCCATTTATTTATGTCGCTCAATTTATTCTCAGTTGATGTTGGTCACTTGAACAGTTTGGTATATAACGAAATTTGCTTTTTTCGGCTTGTGTTTACGTTTGCGTCTGTGTTGGTTGGTTGAAATTTTCACTTTCGTACAGAAAATTTCGGAAAAATTGTGAAATCTTGTGCAACATTTAAATTTAGCAGATTAAATCTTTAGCGGGTGAGTGTGAGAAAAATGTTTATTAAAAATTGTTTGTTTTCATTTGTTTTGGCAAAAAATTTATAGTTTTATTGATATTTTATTGATACACAATAAATAAAGTTTTTGTATTTTTAGTAGCAGTAGCCAAAAAAGAAAATTATTAAAATAAACTTAAAGGATGTTTATGCAATACTCTATAATGCGCATATGCAATGTGATCATGAAAATTTTCTTTAATCAAAAGTATCAGCAGAATTATATATAAATTTATTAAAAAAAAAATCAAAATACAATATAAATTATAAAATTTTAAAGCTGAATTGAATAATCAGCGAATAATAATCTTGTAGAACAAAAATTATGTTAAGATTGGTCAAGGTTATGTATACAAAATAAAATTATGCATAAATAATTTTAATTTTATTTTTACATATTTTAAAGAGCAGAATATTTAACAATTTTTTAAGTGTCTATAGCATATTTATTATTATTTTATATGTTTACAGTAAACAATATCGATATATGAGGTAATTTTTATACTGAGAGATGCGCGTTAAAATTATCTCTCTTCCTCCTCTTTTACACGATACTTTTTCTATATGAACTGATCTAAAGAGTGCTGCCAATTCCACACTTACTTTTTTCATTGTGCAGCGTTGCCACTTGTCTGTTAAAAAAATTAAATTCAGTTTAAACGTACTCAGGATCATGCAATGTAAAGTCAATAAATCGTTGTCCACTGTTTCATTTATACAATATTTTTATATCCACTTCAGCGATATTGATTATATCGCACTCAATCATTACTTGGACAGGGACAGTATTTGTCGATATTTTATTTAGAGACACTTGATCTTCGGAAGTTGCCTTATTTGAGTGACTTAATGACTTAATGAGATGCTTAGCGTAGATGACGGATTGAGTAATGAATTTTACCTATAAATCTGGAAATATTTAAATATTAATGACTTTCTGTTGGCTGCAACATCTTTCAGTCCCTCTTAAAGTGCATAATATATTGAATAGGGTATAGCTTCAATATCGAATAGCTTAGTTGCTGTAAAGGTGATAAGTTTAGTCCAAATTATACCTAGGAGTGTTTTTGTCTGCAGCACTCGTAAAGATATTATTCTTGTAGGGAGTTTGCTGACGGGTGACTGTTAGAAAAGTAATGGGGCTAGAATGCAATGATTCTTAATACGGCTGTGAAAAGGAGCAAAATCTCCTTAGGATCGTGAATTATTGGTAACTTTATTATTATTTTAAATTCTTTGAGTTTTATAAAGTAACTCAATGCAACCATGGGTTTAACTGAGTCTTTTAGATCGTCACTTACAAAGCACTTCCTTCTTTGATATTGTTTTTCCTTGGAAAATGCAAAAAATTTAAAAAATTTTCATATGTAGCAATGATTGTATATATATACATACAACCAAATTGACATCGACAGTGACCATAGTATATCTATATCTATAGAATGTTTCTTAGTATACATATCTTATCTTTATGATAAGGGAGCATAACACTAGTATCTTTTGATACACTGATTCTTCCAGAAGCAATAAACTGCATTTCGGCAATGAATGCATGAATTATGATTTACATTATTTGGTTGAACTATACGTCACTAAAATTCGTTTTTGTTGGACCTTCTCAATGATTTAACTGATAAATAAAGATTAAATTAGGTTTCTTTTTAACATATATTAATGTAAGAATCACTACTTTGATTCTGAGATATCTATTACCCATTGGGATGCTCCGAATTTTTCAAGGGGAGATAGCTACTGCAATTCCATACACTTTCCCTGTTTAATTGTTTAATCTTCTAAACGAACCTAACGAAATTAGAAAGTCTACCATCACTATGCCTATCAGATCAGTAATGCAACGATTTCCTTGACAATGAAGTGGTGTCATTTATAGTCTGGCACAAAGACATAGAAAGTGATTAATTTATTCCATTTCTTATAGGTACGTCTGCACTACCAGCTTTTCGGAATATGCCATCGGAACGCTTTTGTCAGAGTTTATTGACTTTAAAAACTATATACTCGTATTTCAATTTTTTCTAAATTTGAAACTATTTAATTATATTTAAGTACTCAGACTTCTAACAAAAAACATTTGTACAGGAAGCTGAGCGAATGAAACCACAAAAAGTGAAATATATAAGCAAAATATTTGTAATGAAATGGACAATATTGACTAGGAAAACCTTTAAGTGCTAAAATATTCAGTGAAAACGAATTCATTTCGTTCGTTTAAGTAATGCCAAGGAAAGCAAATATTTCCATTTTGTGGTCAAGTGTAACCAACAGTGATGAGCTGAGGAATGTCATAAGATTATGCGTTGGTGTAATTTTAATTTTCATACTAAAATTTTTTTATTATACGAGCATTTGCCTTACACAATGAGTTTTCTTCTTTAATATCTTTTGTTTTTCATTTAAATATAATTAAATTAAATTTTATTTTGCTTTATGCTTTTGTTTCAGCTTTATCATCTTTTCTTTTATAAATCTTTTTAATCAATTTCATTTAGAACTGAAAATAAAGAAATCTTTTTTGTTTGATTTTACCTTTTATCTTTTATCTTTTATTTTTAATTTTATTTTAATTTTTTGAATATTTTTCACTTAATTATTAAGTCAGACATTCAAAATGGCTCCAAGTTCAAGTAAAATAAATTCGGTTTGTTCAAAATTTACGAGAATATAAAGTAAATAATTAATTAAATTTAAAATTGACTACCACACAGTGACGAATGTGGTACTAGTTATTACTACTTTTATACGATTTTCAATAGATAATATTTGCATAATAATAACTATAAAGATTAGATTTATTTTTTAGTGGAATTGGTATTTACTTACATACAGATTGCACCAAATATGCATAGATAAGTAGGGTTCGATAAAAAAATAAAAATTATACTTCCGAACTAAGCACCTATTGATATTGGCTGTTCTTTACATAATATTGAGACTGGTTTCGCCGTTATTGGTAATGGGAATATGTATATGGATGAGTACTTGGAATTATTTCTGTCTGGTGTTTAATATATATTTTATTACTCTCTATGTGTGAGAGAGAAATAAAACCAAAAAGGGCTCTTTATGAAGTTGCGCCACATAATAACAATGATAATACTTCATGGGTTATTTAGAATGACAACGTAGTTATTGTCAATGACGTTGTTAACATGGTTGAATTATTAAGAATTACTTCTGTGTTGTATAGATATTTTATCCATCTATCTATCTGTTATATATCTCGCACGGTATCAAAGGTTTAGAAAATCTTGATCTTATTCTATCTTAATCAAGGTAATAAACTTCAACAATAACCGTCAGTATTGCTAAGTCGGATCTTGTATATCCCGAATTTTGTGTAAATAATTTTTACATTTAGATTATCGCAATTTTATCCGATTTTGTACACCTTATCTCTATCTTATATAATCTCTTGTCTCTACAAGATACAAAATGATAGGCAAGTACTTAATTACACAATAATAATATGATATTTAAGCTCTAAATGATTTTTAAGAAAGCTATAATGATGCAAAGTAAACAATATCATCATGCTACTTCTGGTATAAATAGATATAAACAGATATAATAATTATTTTTAAGTAATTCTTTCAGTATTAGTTATTTAAGTGGATAGTTCATCTAATACTTTGTTAAAGATGGTCAATGTTCTTTAAATTGCGTGAATATGTTTTTTTAATATGAGATGATATATAACCAAATAATTTGTCCGTCACTTCTATATGGTTGTGTAGCGTTTAGCAAAGCTTCAAACACTACTATTCACCAATTAGAAATTGCACAAAGCCAGGCTCTGAGAAGACTTTTCAAAGTTCCTTGGTATATTAGGACGAATGACATCCTTAGGGACCTCAAGATTGATCCCATCAAAAAATACATAAAGGATAGAGCCTTGAAATTATTTGCGAAATCTGACAGACTTACTAACACCGCATTATCAAATCTCAGAATGGTTACAGGCTCCTCGGGGAGGTATGCAGATCTGAGGTCAATTATTACTTAGTCTGATGATGTGATAAATAATAATCCAGTCAAGGCGCAAAGAGGGATTTTGAAGAAACCTCGCAGTTAATATAGAGTAAAAGTGCTTAGGTGCACTGATTCAACTTCCCTCAACATAATAATAAGATATTAGATTAAAAATTATTTTAACATTTCTGTTAATGAATCAAAGTTTTATATTCACTACAATCTAAGTCACGAAGTAATATTGTAATATTGTTATTCTTATACAAGATATCTTATATTTCTTTTATCTATATATTGTAGAAGTTGATACTTTAAGCACTAATCTTATTTTCTAATTCTTTCTAATTAATTTAACAAATTAATGAACTGTTCCAACTAATAAATTTGAAGAGAAGTCGTTGTATTCCTTTGATGACTGAAACTGAGGTCTCAGATTTAATTTGTTATTTTCTAAAACGTTCAGTTAACACCTCATTACCTATTGAAATCTTTAAAATTTTAATATATAATAAATTGCAATGCTTAAAGGTCATACAAAATCCATACAATAGATTTATAATTTTAAAAATTACTTGTATTTCAAGAACACTACATATATATTCATACATATATATCTATATATATTTGTACAAAAGTACATTGTTGTTACTGTAATATCTTCAATGAAAATAGATGCATATATGTACAAAAATATTAAGAATTATTCAAACACCCACGCAAAGAATGTGCTTGTTTTGAACACAATTTGAACAATATTTAAAGAATAAAAATATATAAAAGTATCTGCAGATACCTATGTATAAGCGCCTAAGTATGTGTACATTTGTTGTGAATTCTTATTGAACTTTATATATTATATTATTGTCAATATTTTTCTTCCACTTGAATACTATTTTGTATTTTTAATATTTCTAAAAAAATTTGTATACATTAAAGTATCTTTTCTCTTTGAAATTTTTATCTAATAATTTCCCAGCAGATAAATGAAAATAT